ACTCATTTCCTCGCTACTACTTTCACTCGATGACGATGATGAGGAAGATGATGAAGAAACGCTTGGAAGAGATGTAATTGGTCTTTTAACTTTTTGCACTGGTGCTAAATCAAGATCACTGTTATCACTTCCTATAAGCTCTGTATCACCATGATCAGACTGACGACTATCTTCATCTGGTAATGGGCTTGGAGCTTTGATTTTGCGCTATAATATAAATATTAAAATTGTATCATTATATATTATATTATTTTAAATAAAACTGGTTCAGTAATAAAAATAATAATCTTACCCTGAAAGAAGGCATCTTTGGCATGCTGGCTCTAATACCCAAACCAAATCCATCATAATTAAATCCAAGTGGTGTTCCTTGTTCCAAAAGTAATGATAATCCTTGAGGTTTCTGTCCTTCTTCTTTATTACTGTTATTAACAATAGTATTTTCTCCTCCTTGATTTTGAATTTTCTCTGACTTCTTTTCATCCCACCATACTTCAAACAGTTTGAATGCAGTATTTTCAATCATTTTTTTATTAAAATCTTTTTTTAAAATTTGTTTTAATTCATTTACAACTCGATTTAATACACCATTAATGGTAGGACCCTAAATATTCAAAAATTAAATTACGTAATATTTACATTGATAAAAATTGATATATATTTAAAATTAAAAAATATATGTATACTTGTGGGTTATCTTTTGTAATATTATGATTTGCCATAGCATGAAGTCTTGATTGAAAAGATGGATAATAATTTGCTCCTTGATGATTTCCTACTGTCCCAGAAAATGATGTAGTATTTGGTTGATAATGACTTTGTAAATATGTTGTTCCATAAGGATATGGATATTGTGTTGGTCTTGGCCAATGGTACATATCACTAGTAGGATAATGAGTTAAATGTCCAGGATAACCAGCTCCTGGATATAACTGACTTGTAGGTTCTGTTTGAGCTATAACCTGTATATTTGAATAATAAAATATATAAATAACTAATTATATTCATTCAAGACTATTCAAGGCTATAAGTACCTCTTCAATTTTTTCATCCCCTGAACTTAATGGACTTAATGACATTCTATCATCATCAGGTGGTGGTGGAGGTGGTGGTTCCTTTGGTGGTTCTGGTTCAATTTCATCTGGTGCTGGACTATAACTTCCCAATAATGCCTCATCTTCACTTGAACTTATAACACTACCTAAATCTTCATTAACAGAAAATTGGTTGATGTTATTCTCGTGCACTTTCCACCGTTCTTTATTCCGTTCCCTCATCTTTTCGAAACACGATTTGTATGTTTCATGCGATAGAAAAGGACTTGGTGGTTCCGAGAGCATTTCATTATCTGCATTGACAGACCTTTTTTCATCTTCAGAATCACTACCAAACTGTAAGAAAGGTGGTGCCATTCCCCCTGCTTTATCCTTTAATAACATGGCAATTCTAGTATCCAAATCTAATGTTTTCCGAGTTTCTATAGGTGAATCTCGTGATGAATTTTTTGCAACATTTTGATTTTCTTTTTCTTTCTTAGGTGTGTGATGTATTTTTACATTAGAAGCCTTAGAAATTGGAACTGTGTTAGAATTAGGATTATCTAAATTTGTTCCATGTTGAACAGGCCACATAGAAGATGATGCATAACCTGTTGCCCCTGTATTATTTCCCCACCATAGATTTGAATTTTGCTGCATTGTAAGATTCTGTGATACATTTTGTGACATATTTGCTAAGTAATTATTAGGAGGTTGATGATGATAACTACTGTAATAGAAATCATAATTCGTAGCTGGTGTAGAATTTTGAGAATAATTACTAGAATAATTTAGTTCACTAGGTGCAGTACCATAGCCTAAATCACTTCCTGCACTGCCACTGGGAGTAGGATAATCTCTATATTTATTGTATCTTGAGTTTTCTATATATGTATCTCTCGATTTCTCTATATTAGATACTATCTTTTTATTACTTCTGAAATCATCTCTTTCTTCAGTAATAATTTTTTCGATCGGAGTTTGCTTTTCTTGCTCATTTTCAGATTTTATTTCTTTCTCAATTTTCTTTTCTGGTTTCTTCTCTGTAGTTAATTCATCATAGATCTTTTTACACTCTTCCCCAAATGCATCAAGAAATACTCTTAACACTTTACCCATCACAGATGTATTGTTTAATTTTTCTACACAAGCTTTCGAAGCTTTCGTACTTTCAAATACTACTCTTGCAATTCCAAGATGCTTGTTAGTTATAGGATGATAATAAACAGTAAGTTCTTCTACAGCTCCAAATTTTTGAACCATATCTGATAAAAAAGTTTTATCAATATTATCATTCAAATGACAAAATGTCACTTCAAGTGGGGGAGGTTCACCACAGTAATTAGAGTCAATTTTAAATCTAGGTACAGGTAAGTCAAGTTGTTCTAAACGAGTCCAAATTCTTGTTAACTGTGATCTGGGATCTCGAGGTTGAACTTCAGGATAAGTTGGATCTCCTGGTACCATACCATCATATCTGTATAATTTTGTTGCACCCTTTACCAAAAATGGGTCAACTAATAATTTATAATTTCTTGGCTTCTGAGATGTTTGAACTACAGGTATATCTTTTTGTAAGTGCAATGCATGGGTATGGCTATGTTTTGATGACTGACTTGAATTCTGAGATACACTTTGTACATTTCCATGTGAATGACGATGACGATGCGAGTGTGCATGCGAATGTCCATGTCCATGCCCATGTCTCTCCATTCCGTTCATTGCCTCCAAGCATTATCCACTCATAAATTGCTGCAAATAAAATTGACTGCTGTAAGTTGTATCATATAAAAGTTATATTGTAAATCAGAATTTATAATATAAAAAAATAAACATTTTTAAAATATAATAATTAAATGCAATACAATAATTAAGTACATAAATAATGTGTTTATGCAATTGTATAACTTAATCAAGTATATAAATAATTATAATTGACTGTTATATGTGTAAGATATAAACATTAAATTCTAATATATCATTTTAATATATAAAATTATAAAGCCACCAGATATTTTCAAAACTAAAATTATAAATATATAAACAAATAAAATTAAATTATCAAATTGCACTTCTTAAAATAAAATATACAAAACTTATATGTTAATAAAATAAATATTATCTATTAATATAAAATTTAATATATATTAGAAAAATTTTCTCTTACTTTTAACTTACATCCAGTTTGTTTTTGTTTTTCTAACAAGTTGCTTTACTTGTTAATGTAAGAAATTCATATTTCAATCAAACATAACCTCAAACATTTCGAAGTTTTTAGGTTGGACTTTAATGGAAAGAAATGATATGACAATCATTTCGTAAAAAAAATTCTTTGTACCACGTTCTTTAAATTTATTTTCTTCTACGAACTCCAAATAAGTGGAGACTCTTTTTGTAGAAAGCACAATCCTTAAATTTTATACAAGTATGCTCCGGTTTTTTCAAAAACTTGTAATTTTTCAACTTGCCCGTATAATGTCGTATTTACTATATGGACATCATTTATACATCAGCCTTGATACTTGACTTTTCTTTATTCTTCGTTCATCTTTCTTCGTGAAAAATATACAGGTTTATTGATACTAGCTCTCTGATACACCAACGCAAAACTACCTCAATGTTTGACTGTTAAGCACAACGCACTGCGCCCTGATTTTCCTAACTTTTCACAACTAATAATCAGTAATACAAACAATGGTACGCAAACTAACTAATTCAGTGAAACTTATTTCACTTTAACTTAATATGTAGAATACATTTACTGTATTTTAACAAATTCATAGCTTTAATAAAACTGTGCGAACAGATTCAGATGACGCCATCCTTGTTATAAAGAACATGACGGTTCTTTTAATCATTTTACTAAACAAATCATATAAACATTTTGAACAAGAATAGATATTTTTTGTTATCCGTAGAACGATATTTGCAATATTCTTCCAAAAAATTATTACGCTAAAGTATCCCAAATAGAAGTCCAAGTGAATAACTGAGCCAAATATTCAACATTTTTTTTCGTCTCCTACTCTGTCTTGAGTCACAAATTTTCGTACAGTTGAAAAGATAGTTGAAAATTTCGCCTACTGCTGGCATTCTGTATATTTATCAATAATTTATAAAGGTAATTAAATGCTTAACGACAGTATTGCAAAATAATTGCTGAAAATCTTCTTCCCATACAATGTCTAGTATTTAATCCACGTATTGGTCAATTGCGATCTAAGAGAATTTTCTGGCTACCTATTAGCAAATCAACTTTCTGCCTTCAAAGAAAATTGCGCATTATCATGCGCACACGAAAATACATGGATATTATACTTCATATCAAAGTGAATTTTTGAATACAACATATACCCATCATTAATATGAATATAAAGATGAAGGCCTTAATATTACGAAATAAATGCTTTTATTAATAAATTATGAATGTATATATTTTGATTTTTATGACTGTAATATATAATAATTTATGAACGAAAGTTATATAAAATAATAATAAATTAATAATTTAAGTTTAGTAAATTAGTTATAAATTGTCATCTTAATGGAAATTATTTTGTTTAGCTTTATTATCTTGAATTATAATCAATGTTCTTTTATTTTGTTCATATATTTTTACAATTGATTAAATTCATGAAAATTTAAATTATAACAAAAAGTATTTTAATTATTAAAATCATAATTACTTCCGATATTATTTATATTTATAATATATCAATTACTTATTTAAGTATTAAATTTTCCACAGCTTAATTTATTTAATTATGACAATTAAGAAATGATAATTATTATTATGCCCAATTTATAAGAAATGATGATTATTTATTAACTTATTCCTTTTTTTTTATAAAATCCGATTTTTTTATATTTTTACGTCCTATTACCATATAAATTCACAAGTGTTAGTATCTATAGAAATCGTACCTAAGTTTTGAGTAAATATTCTACACAACTACCATCAAGTATAGTCCATCTGTAAGACAAGCAACTCAAACTAACATTTTCTATCTATTAAATTCTGTATTACAAGACGAAAATTCAGTACAAGTTCGAAGTTAATTCACGATAATTGTGTAAAATCTAATTAAAAATTACCTTAAAAATATGTATTTCTTACAAGATTTTCTTAAACGTTACATGCCAATTGTAAAAGCAGAAGAAGAAGAATTGATTGATCCCCAAAAAGTACTTCGTGTAAGTAAAAATTGTTATATAATACTTATATTATAATATTTTGGAATCTTATTATTCTAGGTTCCTATGTAATTGTGTATTATTAAAATTACTATTTTATTTTTTTTTTAGAATATAATCATAAGAATATAAGTCTCTAATGTAGTTTTAATATAAAGTTTATTTATTATTATATAGTGCTTAAAATCATTCTTAAAATTTTGTTGATATATAATTTTAACAAAATTTAGGTGATATAGAATGTCCATTTTTTAATTATATGATCATTTATATTAATTATAAATCTATAAAACCTTCAAAATAGATACATTTACAAACATTGAAATAGCCTACTTCCCATTAAACATTTTTTCATTAGTTATAAAATGTCTTATCCTTTTAAGAATAAGTTTACTGTAAGTAAAGGATATATAATCACAGTATCATACAATAGTAGCATATAGTGCATTCATTTTATTATGTTTGTATTTATCATTTAACTTTATTTCTTTGGTATGTAAAAGTTTGAACATTTCACAATTGTGATATCAAAATACGTAATTATTCTTTTCTTAGGAAAGATGTTCAAAACAGTCTACATGTGCAGATTTGCAAAAACAACTTGACACTTGTAACAATCGTGTTAATTCAAAAACTCAAACAGAAGAAACTTGTATGGAAGAATTACTTGATTATGTAGAATGTGTAGATCATTGTGTGGCAAAAACACTTTTCAGTAAACTTGAATAAGGTTATGTATTAATTAAAATTGTGTGATTTTCATTATAAAATATGTTATTAATTAACTTAACGCATTGTAGATGATTCTGTATTTAAAATTTAATACTTATAAATTTAACAAACTTTCAACAAGGATAATCATATAATACAGTAAAGAATATATACTGTAATTTGCAAATCATATAAATTTTTGGTATATTTTTTATGAGAAATGCATATAGAGTGATACTTATTTTATTTACATATGAATATATACTTTTTTATTTAAGTATTTTTGGATTCAATACCTAGTTGCAACACATCAAAACATACTGCACAAACACGTACAGGTTTATTTAATCCAAATTTTACGATTGGAACATCTTGATCGGAACATTTATTGCATAAAATTCGACCACAATGACGGCTAGAAAAAATAATTAATTTTATATAAACATAAAATATGTTAACTTGTAAATTTACATAATTTTATAGTTTCTATACCAGTGATGTTTTCGCATTGTGAGAGAAAATTTTGTACCACATTCCAGACAAAGGTCTTTATCAGCCCATGGTGCTTCTTGTGTTAAAGAATCTAGTAGTCTATATAATAATTGTTTTGTTGCTACTTGGTAATTGAAAATTGTGATACCTTCTTTATTCATAGAACCTAAACATGCACCAGCCTTTACCAAAGTGCGACATAGCTGACCATTTCCTTTCATATAAGCTATCAGTAATGGAGTATTGCCATCCAAATCTTGAACAAAATAATTTGTTTAATTTAGTTTATAATAAGATAATATTTTATAGTAACTAATGTTGCATTCTGGCATAATTTTACAATTTAATATTTAATACTTTTATCACATGGACAATTGGTGACTCATATTATTATTGAATTATTTGGCTGAAGTAACATTTTTATCAAATAAACAATGATGTTCTGTTTTAAATTTTTCGAACAAAGTATGTACATGTAAAAGAAAATTATTTATTTATTTATTTCTAATTAAATATTTCAATTAAATTATAACATGTTGTCTTGAAGTAAAATATTTTTATATACTTTTACCTGCTTTATTCACTGGATATTGTGACATACATTCCAAAAAAAGGTCACATATAGTTGCAGCATTATCTTTTCCGTGCCTAGCTAATTCATGCAAAGGATTTCTTCCTTTAAGATTTACAGCTTCTGCATCTAATGTACATTCTGTCAAAAGTGTTCTCACCACTGATACATGACCTCCTCTTACAGCTACATGTAATGCATTGTCACCATCTGCATTTACTGCATCAAAATCAATATTGTTCTAGAATAAAAAGGTAAGTAATTTGACTATTTTCTGTTATACTTTAAAAAAATAATATATTTCTTTCAAAGAAAAGATAAATATAAAATAGTTTAAACTAAATATATATATAAGTTATTATATTCACCTGCAATAAAGCAGTTATAATTGCTGCATGACCTGCTTTTGCAGTGGCATGTAATGCAGTATTTCTGTTTGCATCTGTATCATTAACACGTGCACCAGCCAATATTAAACTTCTTACCAACATTTCATTTCCAGAAACTACAGCAAGATGTAAAGGTGGGGTTTGTGTAACATCATGAACTCTAGAATTTACATTTACCTACAAAATAAAAATCATTCTATTGCATATATATTTTCCTTAGCTAGTTTTCTAAATATTTGTTAAAATTTGTATAAAATAACTATATAATAAGTTTAAATGCATTATTATAATCAATAAAAGAATGATGTCTACCTGTATTGACAGTAAAAATAATATGCTTTCCATGTCATTCTTTTGAATAGCAGTATGTAAAAAGTTTCTGCCTTTATTGTCATATTGTTCTGCAGCTTTCGGTAGTCGTTCCAATATTGCCTGAGCAGCTTTATTGTTTCGAAATGTTAAAGCTGTAGCAAACGGTGTTAAACCCTTTTTATCCCTTATATTTAAATCTATATTAGGATGACAGAGTAACAAAGAAATAATTTGTGAATGTTGGTTTTGTATGGCTACATGAACTGGAGTTTTTCCCTCAACATCTTTAGCATTCACGTCAGCACCATGTTCAATAAGTGTTTGTACAACTTGTTCCAAACCCCACTGACAACATAAATGCAATGGAGTACATTCATCTCTTGCTTCATCACCACCAGCACCATTTGGACCAAGTCTTTTAGGTGCATTTAAATCACAGCCACTGTCAAAAGCATTTTTTAAATTATTATATGATTTATAACAAGAATGACTAAAAGTATGTGAGAAGTAAATCAGGAAGTTTGGCATGTTTATTGTCTCAGAATTGAACTTCTCACGCAAGAAAGACAAACTATCACTTAATTTTTAATGAAAATATAGATACATGCAGAGTAAAAAAAAATATGCCAACATTTTATGAATATTGCAATTAGTTTCATTAAGTTTTTCTGTAGTCTTTTTTAACATGACTTACACTTAAAAACCTTAATAGCAATTGCTCTCTAGTGATGAAAATAGATATCTTTTAGATATCTTCATAATAGTAATTCGGTATAAATCAAAAATTGAATATTTAAATTTTAAATTCTTACACATGTCAAATAATTATATATGTTAAAGTATAATATACCTTCTTATAAGAAATTGTGCAATTTCTTCCTTATTGTGATCAATTGTTCTATGTAGCAATGTTTGTTGGCAATCATCTGGACCAGGACTCCAACAATCAGTGTCTGCTCCATATTTAACTAAAATAGATGCTACATCTTCTTGATCAGAATCCAGTGCATCCCATAATGGACATCCTATAGAAGTGTCCACACCTCTTTTACAAAGAGCTTCTACAACCTCGCCTAGTCTACAGTGCACAGAAAGTTGTAGTGGAGTATCTCCATGTCCAGTCCTACAAATAAAATATATTTGCTATAGATACTAATATTATATAATTTGTAAAAACCTTTGGCAATGGGTTTTATATCCCATACAAATAATAAATTTAAATTTTTAATTTTTTAGTGATTTCAAGTTTTTATTTAATAATACCAATAAAGAAACAGGTTGGCATTTTTTTGTTAATTCTAAGATTAGTTTTGTGAATCTTATTTCTGTATAAACTATCTTACAGTATCCAATGTTAAAGGATTAAATAATATTAAATTAGATATTAATTCAATAAAATGCAATTATTTTTAGAATGTTTAGTAATATGGTCAATGATGTTTACCTAGTATTCATATCCGCACCATTTTCTAATAAAAAGATTGCTGTTGCTGAATTTTCTTTTAATATTGCTTGATGCAACAATGTTAAACCACTGTTATTGGACTGATTAATATTTGCCCCAGCTTTTATTAAAGCCAGAATAATATCTTTCCCCTTTTTAAATGGAGCTTTAATAGCTAAACTCAAAGGTGTTTCATTCTCATTATTTTTTAAATTCAATTGAGAATTCGAATTTGGTGCATTTAATAATTCTACCACGATATCAAAATTTAAATTCGCAACGGCAATATGTATTGGTGCGTCGCCAGTAGATAATGCAACTTCATCGACTGGGAAACCGGTTTTTAATAGAGCTCTCGTTAAATTTTTCGAACCGACTTTACAAGCTTCGTGTAAAACTGAATATCCTTCATTATTCTTTTGCATCAAGTTTTCCTTACAGTAATCAATTAAAAATAATGCTGCTTCTTCTTTATTTTCTTTTATTAAAACATGTAGTAAAGTGTCCTCTGTACTTTTATATACAGGATTTGGAATTGCACCTTTAGTTAAAAGCTTTTTAGCAAAAAATTCATTGAATGGGTTTGTTCTCATTGCAATAGATAATGGAGTGTCATCTTCAATAGTAGTTTTATCCAAGTCTATACTTTGACATTCTAATAAGATATCAAAAAGTGGTTCATTTCTTTCTTGAATACAGTTATGCAATGCAGTCCTGTAAAACAGAAAGCAATAATAAGGAAATGTTTAACATTAGTTAAAAATTTAATTATTTGAGCTCTTATTATAAAACTACCTCCAAAAGCTAATACATTTTAAAGTCTTAGTATCTCTGATTATAAACTACTCCTTTTGTTACTTCAATTTTACTTTAATTTTATTTTTACATATTTTTTCTACTATTTTCAACTACTAAAATATTAATTCTTTTTCAAAACTGCATAAGTAGTCTTGATTTTAGATTCATCAATTATGAAATAAAAATAAGTAATTGTACCATCCTCTATAATTTTGTAAATTGGGGTCGATACCAGCTTGAAGTAACCGAGATGCGACAGTCAACATATTTTCTGTATTATGTCTCGTTACTAAATGTAACGCAGTACATCCTTCGAGTTCCTCGGCATTTTTTATATCCCGCATATTTCCATTAAGCTTCACAGCTTTACATAACTGCTGTATATTTCTATTACTTTCCAGTTGTTCTATTATAAATTCAGCTGCATAAGAATCTCCTTTAAAAATAGCAGCTTGAAGCAAAGAAAGTCCTCTTAAATCTTTTGCACTTAAGTCAGCACCATGCTTAACTAAAGTGCGTGCTAGAGATGGTTGGCGTGTTTTTAAAGCAACTTCTAAAGGCATTTCCCCTTTATTATCCAGAGCATTAACAGCTTTTGTTAACTAAAAAACATTCAAACAATAAAGTAGTTAATTATATATATATTTTATAAAATATTTTGTACATTCATATATTTATTGTACTAAATTAATAATCTCTTTTAAAAACGGACAGAGTTGAACGTATTTAATTCATGACAATGAAATTAAAACGAAATTTTCTTGAATCAAATTTAGAATAAAATTTGAAACTTTCGGCATATATAACTGGTTGAGCACCACTGTTCTGATTTTATGCAAAAGATATATAATGTGTATACTCAACGGATGCCTGCGCGTGCACGTATTAGTGCTACCTACATAGCGGTATTAAGAAATACATAAACAGTGTAAAAGATTAAATGGAAAGAAATATGGAGATTATGTTCTGATACAACGGAAATAGTGGTTTGTAAAGGATAGAAAAGCCATGATGTGGCGTGTGATAAACTTGTCTAACTACAGTCAGCTTCCGATTAAAGGGGCACATTTTATAGTAGTACAACGAAAAGCAGTTAATCGAAATCTGACGATAGCTATGTGACGTTTAGTGAATATGAATAAAGAGTGTTGTTAGGAATGTGTGAAAGTGATTGAATATGGCCTATTTTACGATGGAATCAAACGTAGATATAGAATTCTTCATGATATTTTAAATAATTTCTAAACATCATGTACGAATTTGTAAAATTTTTTTCTATATTTTTAAATTAATATTTGTTTGCAGCTTAAATGTGTTAGATTCATACGTTAATCGTTCCCATTAAAAAAATATTTTTTATTTTGTAATGATTTAATCAATAAATAAAACTTTTATATACACACATACGCGCGCGCGTGTGTACTGTTAAATTATATATAGATATTTATTTATTTATTATACCAAAGTAATATTATTATTATTATATATTAAAAATGACTGCAGCATATGAGTTACATTAATAAAATTTATACTATATGAAAATTATTGACAATTATTTATAAAGATTCATCATAGTGAATAATAGTTTCATTTTAGTACTTTTGTTATTATTCAATTAGAGTATTCGCATAAGTTACTCAATATTATTATATCTCTTTAAGCAAATTATTCTAGTTATTGTAATACAAGTAGTATTATTTAATATCAAAAATAAGAATACTTTGAATTATATTTAATTAAACAGAACCAATATAACTTAAACATTTGTAGCACATATAAAATGAAAGATAAGTACTTTATTCAAATTAATTTTAATTTATAATTTTTTCACCAAAATTTAGTTATAAAGAAGTAGTTCTGTCTTATATAGGTACTAAATATAATTATTATATTTATATAGAAAATATAGTTAATTTAACGTATTTATATTAAAAACTATAAACATTTTAAATATCAGATATAATGAATTAAATTTTTTCAGGTTCACATAATGATGATAATGAACTAAACATAAATAATAAAGATAAATATAAATATAATTTATATTTAAAAAAGGTGCAAATAATATCTAAAGAATATTGTATTTTAATTATTTTGTATATAATCCCAAATGAGATGACTTTCCAAACATTATCAAAAAAAATCTTATTAATTGCTGCATTTTTTCTATGTATGTTTACATTTAAAAATATTTTATCTTTATATAGAAGAACTGAAATTCAAATTTCAGAAGAAGTTTAATATTTTTAATTATGTTATGTTCTTAGCTTATTTAATATTTTTAGATATAATAATAATGCCAATAACTGCAGAAGGTATTACATGCTTCAAATTAAATATAATTTAAAAATAAAAAAGGTGCAAATAATATCTAAAGAATATTGTATTTTAATTATTTTGTATATAATCCCAAATGAGATGACTTTCCAAACATTATCAAAAAAAATCTTATTAATTGCTGCATTTTTTCTATGTATGTTTACATTTAAAAATATTTTATCTTTATATAGAAGAACTGAAATTCAAATTTCAGAAGAAGTTTAATATTTTTAATTATGTTATGTTCTTAGCTTATTTAATATTTTTAGATATAATAATAATGCCAATAACTGCAGAAGGTATTACATGCTTCAAATGTTTTGCATCACAACCAGGATATGAACAAACTGACTTATCATGTTCTCAATTTGATGGAAGTTTTCGATTTCAAGTACATTGTCCTTCATCCACACTTTGCAGAAAAAGAACTATTTGTTACAAATTTAAAAGTAAGTAAATTTTTTATTTTATATAAATTGAAAAAATGTAATATATTTGTATTCATTACTTCATTATTTTCACCAGCATCTATAATCACAGCTGTAGAAAGAGACTGTGCACCTCAAAAACGTACAATACCAATCTATAGTGATAGTAAGTGGCAAAACAAAGAGGAAATTGTGACATCTGCTTACAAAGAAGGTTGTTTTATTGGTGAAGATAGAGGAGCACCAGTAGGTCCACCAGAATACTGTTTCTGTGGTCACCATTTGTGCAATTCGTCACAATCAAATGAAACTATTAATATATATCATATTTTTATACTGATAACAGTATTACTATTTGCAATACTATTATGATATATTTTCTTTACGTACTTATTATGATAAGAAAAATTTGTTTAATATATGAATATATATTTCATCATTATTTTAAAGTGATATAAAAATGTTATAAAATCTTTCCTTTAACTCTCATTAATTCTTGCGGATTGTGAAATTGTAAATTCATAAAAACATTTGAATAAAAGGACAAAAATGCACTAACTATGATTACTAAATTACATTGAGTAATTTATCAAAATAATTACTCTGTGGTTTTGATGCACAAACCATAATAAAACTAAATTTATACTAATAAAATTGTTGTTATGACTATTTTTGAAACAATAACAAGAAATATTTTATATGGATTGTGAATGTTTTCAATTTACCACACAAATGTTTTTATTTTACTATAAATATATAATAAAAAAAAAAGAAAAAATCAAAACATGTTTCTTATTGTATAATCTTATAAGAATATTACACTTGGAAATTACACTCATTATATACAAATAAACAAATGATTTTTCATAAGTCAAAATATGAAACTTACCCCTGAATCATTTTCCACTAAATATAAAAAAACCACATCCTCCCTCATCAGTCGAATAGCAGCATGTAATGGATATTTACTTTTAGTCTGTAATAGTTTGTATAATAAAGAGCCAGGCATTTCTTTAAAATCTTCTCCTGTTAAATCTTCCTACCAATATGAAATTTTGATCAATTAAAGTTATAATTAACATTTAAAGGAATTGAAGTTATACAGCTTAATATTTATTTCTATTTCTCTTACCCAATGTGCTGAAATTAAAGAACTGCAATGTTCTTTTAATTTCTGAGCACTTAGTTCTTCTGCAGCAGCATACAATTGCACACAATCCTTGAGTCCTACAATTCCAATTAAATATTTCTCACACTGTTCAACTAATTCTGATAGTTGAAAATTAGATGCTGCTTTCATTAAATCTAATGTTAAATTGTCTTGTGACACCTTTCCTGTATATATCCATTTTAATAACACTAATCCAATATTAGGATCTAAATAAGTCCAATCTAAAAAAACATGCATATAATTTTTCTTTGTACATATCTGTTATCTTCTAATACTTTACCTAAAATAGTTACTTCTGCAAGCATCGAATCACCAAAAAAGTCTGTTCTAGCAGATAATACAAATTTATGTGCTGGTATTTCCCGGTCTATTAATTTAATAATTACATCACTAAAATAATACACATTTATTAATGACAAAGTTTATGTACTAAATAATGATTTAAAATATTATGTACCTATATCGATGTTGATTGTATAATGATGCAATAGTTGTTAAGAGTCTTCCAATAAATCCAGTATTTTGTTTATTTGCAGTAACAATAGCATATTCACGTTGAAGTTCTGTGTTTGTGTTGCATAAATTAATATATTGCTCTCGTAATAAAGATAAATGCTGCTGCCACTTTTGTGCTTCTGTAGAATCTTCTGAAATGTAAAAAATGCTAAATTGTTTATAAAATGTAAACAAACATTTTAAACTTACCCATAATTGTATGAGTAATTATTTTCACTCTTCTAGAACGCGGTGTTAAAGTTATTGCATGTTCGGCTTTTTACGCTAGTTCATATTTATTCCATATAATCTATTCTATCTGGTAATAATAAAGATTAGATAACAATAATTAAAAAATTCTTGAAGAAACCTCTGAAAATAGTATCGATGTTTTGCTTACAATAAAAAAATATATTAATAAGATTCTAATACGTATCGTACGCCCACGTACAGTATACATTACATTTGTAATTCACATACGTACATATTTTTCTCTTTAAGGAAAATGTAGCCACACTTTCGAAAGACAGAAAAAATTCCTATACAATTTAAACAAAGGAAAAAACAAAAATTATAATTTTCACTTGCAACAGTATCATAGAGCTAACATAATTAATGAATAGATAACTTGTATTACGTTTATTATATTCACTTTTTAAATTCTACCTAGCTCATAGATTTATTTACTTGTAGTTTCTACAAAAAAAATAAATGGTATTATAAATTCATGAAACTACTAGCAGTGTTTGATAAAGATCATTCCCCTAGCTTTTAACTAGTTACATTGATTACATGCAGAATAAAAATATTTAAAAAAGAAAGACGTTTTTGTAAATTTATATCTTAAATGTATTACTCTCATAATAAAATTGTAGAAATATGTGAACATATGTAATATATTATAAATATTTCAAGAATAAGTACAATAAATATTATTTGAATAATTTTTTATGATAATAGTTCGTTAGTTAAATAAATGTAAAATAAGATAATTAATACGTTTAATATTGTTTAATTATTTATAATGACGTATAAAAATTATATGCATTTGGATGAGATTTGTATAAAACTTTTGAAAAATAATTATATATCTATTTATTAGTAGCGTGTGTGGGTGTGTGTGTGTATACACATAGTACATAATATAAACTAAGATTATTTATTACAATAATAAATGTGGTAAATAAATATAACTTAAAATATATTTGTTAATTATGAGGTGTATTCAAACTATCGAAAATATTGTTACATTATTTATAAAATAAATAAATTTATATGAAGATACTATTGTTTTATCAATATTAAGAATCTGTTTTAGGTTTCAAGTTATAGACCTGAATCTTCTCATTAAATTGAATATTACATTAAAATAAAAAGACTTCTTATGTAGATAAGTAATTTGTGTATAATTAAATACCATGATAAATAAAAATTATATTTAATTATTATAAATAATTTGTGATTGTAGTAATTGAAAAATAAATATGTTAATTTGTTAGGAAAAAATGGAAATAAATCGAATTAATAATTTATCTTTGAAAGAAAATATACATAAATTGTTGAAAATGTGTGCTCCAGCAACTAAGGAAGGTATTTATAAATCAATTCACAACAACTTCAGGTTACAATATTTGATATTTCTCACTTTTCATTTTATCTTTGTTTAATTTTCATAATAATTCTTATATAATATTTACACAAGTGTTTCTTAACAAATGCATTTATGCAGTTAAAAAAGAAGTTAAAAGAAATTATCATTTATAAATTTATCATATTATCTTTTTAATATAAAATAACAAAATATATGTGCTTTAGATGTGTCAGAAATATTTTGTAAACTTGAAGATTGTAATTATTCGAAATTGACAATTGGAATGTTTTTTGAATTTATGAAACTTGCGTATCAAATTAATGATAATAGCAAAAGTTTAACTACAATACTAAATGCAGGAAATAAACTAGATTGGAGCAAGTTAGCAAAAATTAATTTACATTGTAAGATACAAAACTGCAATAGCACCATTGAAAAATATATTAATAGTGATGTCATGCAGAAACATAACAGTATCAATACAACAGAAGAAATTTTATCTGAAACACATGATACCAATATTAAATATTCCATACATTGCATTGTACCTTCAGATGTACAACTTAAAAATAAACAAGTATATTCCTATCATCAAAATTTAATATCTGAAATTGAAAAATGTAATCAAATTACTCAAAATTTGTTACAAGTACAAGATACAAAGATTGCAAAATCTGTAGATACAACAGAGAACTTTTTAATTGCATTAATGAAAACAAATTTAAGTGATATATTACATGAAGGTTTATTAGATTCTGTATTACCATATATGATTCCAAAACCTACTATTTCACAACCTATTATTAAAAAATCTATTGCAAGTACTGAATTAAAAAAAAGTAATTCATTAAATAATAATATTGAAGCAAGAGCAATTACAAATGTTACACATAAAGAGAAAGAAAAAGATAAAAATAAATCAAATAAGAGATCAACTGAGTAAGTATATTAATAATTAATATTGACTTAAATTAAATTTAATATTGACATTAAAAATAATTTTTTATAGAATTAATAACAGTTTATTCTACGCTTGTACAGCAATGAAGTGGAAATTCACGTTTGCGATGAAGAAAAGAACATTAAAAAAAATTTCTATTGTCCTCAGAAACTTCTTATTCAAAAAATGCGTTATTTTGCTGATGTAACAGCAGGCCAAAAATTGGAGGAAATAGATATATCAGTTCACTGTGATGTTACAATATTTGACTGGTTAATGAGATGGGTAAAGAAGGATATTATAAAAAAATCAGAATGGCCAATTTTGGAAATTAATAATGTTATTCCAATAATGGTGTCTGCATCATTTTTACAAATGGAACCACTACTAGAAAGTTGTTTACAATATTGCCATAATAACATGTCTGATATATTAAAAACATCAACAGTTTTAACTGGGTTAGATGATAATCTTTTAATAAGGTATTTTAATTACATTTTTATTAATATAAATATTTTGAATATTCAATAAGCAAAGAGAAATATTCCTTCATTATTAAAATAAAACAATATATATAAAAAATAATTTTTGTTTATACAATTTAAAAAATGAATTAATTTATTATTTTTAATTGTTTAATAATAGTTCGGTTTTAGTTGATAATTATTTTCAGATTAGTAGAACAATTTACAAATGAAGATGTTGAAGCACTGAAAGATAAAAAAGACAAAATTCAAAGTAAATTATTTTGTAAATTAATTATGTCTCTTGCTGAAGTAATGCCAGATAATAAAAAAGGACACTACAGTTCTTTAGCTACATTATTCAAATGTAGTAAATGTGGAAAAAATATTATTCAATCAGTTTCTAACTATGTGCCATGTATTTCAAGTGCAATGAAAATTGATAACCATGGAAATATTCTTAGTAAACACATAAGGTGTGATTATTATATTCAAAACCAACATTATAAATTATATAATTATAATACATTATATATTATTTAGAGATTTAACATGGACTTTAAATGATTACATCATTACACTTCGAACAGAATTACATTCTTGGCGTAAAGTTTATTGGAGACTGTGGGGTGATTGTCACTTTTTGTTTTGTATACAATGTAACATATATTTCCCAATTCATCAGTTTGAGTGGTGCTGCTATCATGCTGAATTCCCACAGTTTTTTATTAATGAACAACAGCGACCTATACCATTTCCTTTGGGCAGATATCCATGTTGTAGTCAACGAGCATATAAATTTGAAGTACTACCAAATCACGAAGGTTGTAAATATAGAGTATGTGTTCGTTAGTATCACAGCTAGATTTTAAAAGGTCTTAAGAATATAAATTTCATAATAATAATATTAATAATAATAGTAGTCATTGAGTTATTTTATTGTATTTTCATTTACTATTTTCTTTATTTCTCAGGAACACATTCCAGATATTAGGACACAAAGAGATATAAGTGTATTGAATATCTTTACAGTACATAGAGAAGTAATAGTTATGGAACCACCGCAATTATTTTTCCCAGAAAAAATTACCAGATTAGTAGCTCGTGATCTATCACATCAATCAGGAAAATTAATGTGCAAAGATGTAATGTGGTGGGTTGGCATCGAACTTACACCACAACGACCAAAACTTGGACTTTTAGGTAAATTAATATCCTTTAATACTTATGAGTAATAACAATAATACTTTTTTGTATATTTAGGAAAAATTTGGAGCGGATCAGGATTCCGACGTTTATATCAGATTCAAGATCTACAAAAATCACAAAAAATTCGTCAGCAAGTTTCTATTACAACTGACACCACATCAATTACATCTTCAATAACAGATAGTGATATGGATGATGGTATTACAACTTGTGAAAATAGTAGTATTGATGAAGAATCAAATCATAGCGAAGAATCTCATGTATGGTCTTCACTAAAATCAAAAAATAAAAATAAAAAAAAACAAAGGGATGAAGTTATATGGAGGTAACATATATTATATAGAAAATACGTGTATTATGATATAGTTCTAGAATTAATTCTACATATTGAATTATTTATGATGACAAAATAATTTTAGAAATACTGGTCGATCTTGGAGTGGTAACTTAAATGTAAGACATAATCAAGATAACCAGAGAGATTTTGAAGAGACTGCAGCTTCACAAATGATAACACTATTGACAAAAAGAGTATCTGCAGATTCTTCTTCATTATTAAAATCATCTAATAGACACAATCGGATAAAAAAGCAATTAAATGGTACATTTATTAAATATTATATTTATTGCAAGTACACAGTTTTTATTATAAGCAATTCTATTCAAAGCAGGAGGAACTTATACGAGATTGGAAGCTGAACTTCGTGATCAACTAAATCAATCTTATAAAAATAAAAATTCAACTGGAAAGTATTTATTACGTACGAAATTAAATAAATCATAAATATTTCAGACTAGAATAATTGTTATTAAATGTTTTGTATATTGGACTTTTATTAATTAATATTTATTATATTAAATAAGGAAATTTTTATATATTTTTTTAATTATAAACTCAAACACTACTTACAATCTTAGCTATTATATATAAATAGAATCAATTACTTAAGTAAACAATGAATACAAATATTTATTGTATGAAATATTCTTTAATTCTTGTTTAGATTTCGTTATAAAATTAAATAAACCTTAATATTAGATAAATGGTACAAAAATAAATATTATATAGTAACTAAAATAATATATAACTAAAAAAAATGTTTTTTTTTATACTGTTTGTGTAATTTCTTTCCAAGAAAAAAATTGGAGTATTTAGGATTCTATTTGCTTTTTAAATAGGCCACTTCTATCTAGCAGTTGGTTAAGTTCTTCCTCTGTAAAAACTGTATTGAAAACTTATTAAAAATTAGTTATTATTACAACAGTATAGAATTTATATGTTAGAATTATGTACATTTCAATAATCTACCTTCATTTTCAGATGCAACTACTTGATGTTCATTTGATTCTAACATTTTTTGTAGTTTTATTAAGTCTGCTTTATTCCTTACATTTATTTCCTTAATGTGTTTAGAGATAACCACTTTTTCTAAAAGACGTTTAGCTTCAGCACGATTAATAATTGCTTCATCAATAGTGCCTTTGGTACATAACTTATATATCATTACTGGGCGTGTTTGTCCTATTCTATGACAACGTGCCACAGCTTGTATATCTACTTGAGGATTCTGTGAATATATTCAATTACTTTTAATCAATAATATAAAATCTAGGTTTCCATATTCATCAACAGGAACAATAACAAAGAAGAATTTGTGAGAGAGCCTAAACAAAATTGCTTAAAGAGCAATTAGTTGGTCAATTACACATCATACCCATACTCCTCAATTCCTATAGTAAAAATAAGAAAATAAATACAAATAAAAACATACCCAATCACAATCATATACAATAACAGTATCTGCTCCAACAAGATTTAATCCAACACCACCTGCTCTTGTAGTCATAAGAAATAAAAATATTTCAGAATTTGTATTAAAATCTTCAATACGTTCCTTTCGATCAATGAGTTTAGTAGTACCATCTAATCTGATATATTTGTAATTCCGTAATGAAAGATAATCTTCTATAATGTCTAATATCATAGTCATGGTAGTAAATAACAAAACTCTATGTCCTCTTTTTTTAAGTCTTGCAAGCATTGCATCTAACACTAGAAGCTTACCAGATGATTTAATTAATTCTTCATCTATTTTTGGCGAAAGATCTAGACCCAATGGGTAATGTATCAAATATGGATGATTTACAATTTTTTTGTAAAAAATATCTAAGTCATGAAAAGATAAGTATAAGAATAAACTGTTTTAATGTTATTTACTTATATGTTCTTCTAAATAATAACTTACGATGTCGACTATGAATATGAATTAAGAAGTCTCGATTATCATTGGTAACATTAGTATATTTGTTCCACGTTATTAAATTTTGTTCATTTTTAGGATTTACTTGTTTCCAAACATCACTGTCCATGCTTTCGTCACTTTGTTGAAAAGTAGTACTTAGTGACACTTCTCTTTCAAATCTTGTATTCATGATATACATACTTTTTAATGCACATTTTCTTTTAGGTCTGTTACCATCATCCGAATGTATAATTAGATCTTCCTCAATCTTATTAAATTCATCTATATCACGATTTATAAGTGCTTTATATAAATCATGTTGCAATTGTGTTAGGGGAGCATAAACAATTAATTCTTTTTTTGGTGGAATATCCAAACAAACGTTTGCTTTTTCGCGTCTTAAGAGAAAAGGTTGTAATATTTCTCGTAATGATGACAATACACGTTTATCTTCTTCTAATTTTAAGAATTTTTTGGTTCCTTCATCTCCCTGATGTTCTTTTGCATCAAACCATGATTCAAAAACAGTTAAATCATCAAAAATTTCTGGTAGCAAAAAATTTAATAATGACCATAATTCTGCTAAATTATTTTGTAATGGTGTGCCTGTTAATAAAAGTCTATTCATAGATCTACAAGACTTTAAAACCCTGAAAAATAATAATAAATTACATCAATTAAGATTTAGTGTTACCAATATATATTTTTTGTATTTATTTTAATTAACATACTGAAGGAGTTGACATTTATGATTTTTAATTCGATGTCCTTCATCTATGATTATATACTTCCAATTCAAAGATTTAATAAAATTACTTTCATGTAATGGGACCTCAAAAGTAGTAAGTACAATTGGTAGTGTACTATAAGTTTCTGTAATTTTATACTTCTGTTTAATTTTTCTCTTTAATATATGTTTCTCTTGTGTACCATGAAATAATACAACAGGTAATTTTGGTGCAAATTTTTCAAATTCTAACATCCAATTTGGTATAGTAGAGAGTGGAGCCACTAATAAATATGGCCCATCTTGTTTTTTTTCAAGAAGATGACATAGTAAAGCTATAACTTGAATTGTTTTTCCAAGACCCATTTCATCAGCCAAAATTCCATTTATACCATTTTCATAAAGAACTTTTAACCACTTAAGTCCTTCTTTTTGATAATCTCGTAAATCTCCATTAAAATATTTTGGTGTTTCAACAATAACATTATCAATATCCTTTGTTTTACTTTCAGAATTTATAACTAACTCATACTCAATCTCATTTTCACTTAAATTCAACTTGTTCTTATTTATATGTACTTTTCGTTTTACCTTGTATTCATGATATACATACTTTTTAATGCACATTTTCTTTTAGGTCTGTTACCATCATCCGAATGTATAATTAGATCTTCCTCAATCTTATTAAATTCATCTATATCACGATTTATAAGTGCTTTATATAAATCATGTTGCAATTGTGTTAGGGGAGCATAAACAATTAATTCTTTTTTTGGTGGAATATCCAAACAAACGTTTGCTTTTTCGCGTCTTAAGAGAAAAGGTTGTAATATTTCTCGTAATGATGACAATACACGTTTATCTTCTTCTAATTTTAAGAATTTTTTGGTTCCTTCATCTCCCTGATGTTCTTTTGCATCAAACCATGATTCAAAAACAGTTAAATCATCAAAAATTTCTGGTAGCAAAAAATTTAATAATGACCATAATTCTGCTAAATTATTTTGTAATGGTGTGCCTGTTAATAAAAGTCTATTCATAGATCTACAAGACTTTAAAACCCTGAAAAATAATAATAAATTACATCAATTAAGATTTAGTGTTACCAATATATATTTTTTGTATTTATTTTAATTAACATACTGAAGGAGTTGACATTTATGATTTTTAATTCGATGTCCTTCATCTATGATTATATACTTCCAATTCAAAGATTTAATAAAATTACTTTCATGTAATGGGACCTCAAAAGTAGTAAGTACAATTGGTAGTGTACTATAAGTTTCTGTAATTTTATACTTCTGTTTAATTTTTCTCTTTAATATATGTTTCTCTTGTGTACCATGAAATAATACAACAGGTAATTTTGGTGCAAATTTTTCAAATTCTAACATCCAATTTGGTATAGTAGAGAGTGGAGCCACTAATAAATATGGCCCATCTTGTTTTTTTTCAAGAAGATGACATAGTAAAGCTATAACTTGAATTGTTTTTCCAAGACCCATTTCATCAGCCAAAATTCCATTTATACCATTTTCATAAAGAACTTTTAACCACTTAAGTCCTTCTTTTTGATAATCTCGTAAATCTCCATTAAAATATTTTGGTGTTTCAACAATAACATTATCAATATCCTTTGTTTTACTTTCAGAATTTATAACTAACTCATACTCAATCTCATTTTCACTTAAATTCAACTTGTTCTTATTTATATGTACTTTTCGTTTTACCTAAATATTAATAAGATAATAATAAAAAATAATTAAAAAAACAAAATAATAGTTATATTTACTTACATCCTTAGATATATATGTTTGTGAATTATGACTTTTCTTCTTTTCTATCTCTTGTGGTGGTGTATTTTCATCTATGGAATCCAGTTCCTTTTCATTTCTTTTTATAACTTCGGCATCTTTTACCAAACTATTGTTAATTTTATTAACGATATATGAAGCATAAAATTTACTTCTATTTAACAAATGCATTAATCGTTTATATTGCTGTTCTTGAACTATATGATTATATTTTTCATCTGCTAATCGTTTACTTTCAGCTTTTTCTTTTCGTTTCCTTTTCTTTTCTGCTATTTTAGCATCATTTGAGGGTTCATTACTAAATTTAATATCATTTACAATGCTTTTTGCATTGTCTTTTCATGTACAAGAAATAAGAATAATATACATTAATTAAAAATAAATAATTGAAAGTAAATATAAAATTAATCTAAATTTTTTAATTATTTTTTATTATAGCAAAAATTTTAGGCTTTTCTAGATTTTGTATACAAGAGAACAATTTAAAATATTTAATAAGTTTCAAAAAATAAATATTAAATTTTATATTTAAAATGCAAATTGTTAAAATTATTAATTACATAAAATATGATATTTATATTATAAATATATGAAAGATAATGTAATTTCATATTAGAAATTTATATCACACAGCGAAAATCAATACTACAATTTTATTGTATGATTACTTCCTTTATGTAGGTATATAAATATTTTTAATAAGTGTCTTACCTGTAACTAAACTAGTGTCATTAGAAACATTAATTTTTGTATCACAATTATTATTATCCATTTTCATAAATAGTAAGAAATAAATTTTTATATTTTTCTAATAAATAACAACTTCCAATCAAGAAAAAAACAAATTTAACAAAACATACGAATACCTCACGTGTTAAGTAAATCCCGCTAAAAGTAGGCAATATAACGTACATTATATATTTATATACCACGTGCAGCCAATCATCAATGTATAGAACTAATAACAAATAAAATTTACGATAATAAAATATTAACACATATAACACGTGAAAGATTACAAATATTATATTATATAAAAATAGAAAAATTTATTTACGAAAAAAATTAAGTAACTTATTTTTAATAACTTCTTGTTTTTAATATAATTTTTATTTTTAAATTATTTATTTTTCAATAAAAATAATATGTTATTGGTAATATAAATTGCTAATTATACAGTATTGTCTTTATATTTAGTAAATTTTGAAAATGATTCATCTTACAATTTATAAAATTACCAATGTAGTAATTCAAAAGTTACTTAAAAGGAGAGTGCAAGTCCTTCCCGTCACCGATTTAGTTGAAACATTGCAGGTTTGTAGATATCGTTATACAGTTTAAGAAAATATATCATTATAGTAGCAACTATTTAATAGTTTTTAAGATATTTGCGATTAAAGTTTTATTATAAAAATATTTGACATTAATAAAACTAATATATTTATTATAACTAGGTTATAATGAAAACAATTGTTGGTGATATTGAGTTAGAATTATGGGCAAAAGAAACTCCAAAGGCATGTAGAAATTTCATACAATTATGTATGGAAGGTTATTAGGATGACACTATATTTCATACACAAGGTGGTAATCCCACAGGTACAGGAGAAGGTGGTAAAATATATGGAGAACCATTTAAAGTGAGACTATATTTAAAAATAAAATGAATTCCTTTTTTATTCAAAAATAATTATTGGATATATGTGTCTTAGGACGAATTTCGTACAAGATTACGTTCTTGTGGACGAGGTCTAATTGCTACGGCTAAAGCTGAAATAGATGACAATACTTCCCAATTACTTTTTACTCTTGGTTCTACATCAGAATTGCAGAGTAAACATACAATCTTTGGTGAAGTTATTGGAGAAACTATATATAATATGCTTAAACTCGAAGAAGTACTTGTAGATGAGGTACATTTAATGTTTGCAAAAATATATATCAAGCATTGATATAAATATACTATTTCCTCTGTTTTGTAGAATGATAAACCACTTTATCCTTCAAGACTGATAAAACCTATAATATTGAACAATCCATTTTCTGATATTATACCAAGAATAATAATACAGAAAAGTGAAGGTGTAAAGGACAGTTCAAAAACTAAAACAGCAGCAGTTAAGTAAAAATCATATATGTTTGCTGAATTTAGCCCTGATATTATTATTCTTTGCAATGTAAGATTTTGTTACAGTGGTTTCAATCTTTTATCATTTGGTGAAGAAGCAGAGGAAGATGAAAAAGAATATGTGATATTAAATAAAAAGTTTAGTGGTAAGGGCAAATTAACTCATGATCATTTAACTGATCCAAAATTAAGCTCACAACCAGCTGTTGAATCACCTGGACTTGCAAATAAAAAAAGGAAGGAA